CCGGTTTTTTGTTCGTCAGCTTCTCATCCGCATGCACTCATACGGCTCACGCGTGTTTGACTTTCATCCGGTATGTCGTTGGTCTACATGTCGGGAATGTTTTCTGTCATGAAACCAGGGAAGGTTTGTGAGACCTCAATATCCGGAGCCTAGTGGCTTGCATGTTGACCTCCTGCAACCTTCGCAATCTGCGGTTGGTCGTTGGGATCCGCTTTGCTTGATGGGAGTGGCTACATGTTCTACAATGGGCTGTGCAGACAACCTCCAAGGATTAAAATCACAGAAGGCTTAATCTTTGCTGACAGTCGGCTTGATGACTCCGCTGACACTGAGACATGTAGATGAGGAGGCAGTTCCCCGTGTGATGCGCTTGCGAGAAGTGCTGCAGTCATCGAACATACCAGCAGGAGTCCGAGCATTAACATTCTTACAGGCTTAATCTTTTCTGAAGCATGTTGTGGTGACTTCGCGAAGTACTGAGACATGTAGATGAAGGAGTTGGTATTGGCCCATGATCTGAGTTGGTGAAGTATAGTTGCAATTGCAATTGCAGGGCTGGTAGGGTTCCAAGGGAAAGATGCTGAGTGACTCTCTGACTCTTGGCTTTTTGCTGAAATGTGCCCGTCTCATGAATGATGGATAATGGGGCAGAAGACGCTCCCAGAAGGGTTTCCGTCATGGAAGAGGGCTTTGTGAAGACTTCGAGGGGTATCCAGTCTCGAATTCAAAGCAAGAGGCCATCAGGGCTCAAAGTGGTGCGATATGGCTGGCCCAGCTTGGCTGTCATGGCAGAGGTCCTCTCTTCTGAGGAGGAACAGCCGGAGGTTCTGGGTTTCTCACATCATAACAGACAGGCACATGTGTTTACCCTCTCAACAGGTAGAGGCAGTTGCCGGAAAGCCTCCAGCATCGAAGAAGCAGACAGAGGTTCCCAAGGAGCCCAAAGAGGTCCAGGAGCCAAGAGTCTCTCTCTCTCTGGGCTTCTCTTTGTTCGTCTCTCTCTCCAGATCTGCGAAGTGTACCCGGTGCTCCGACGCTGGTGATGAGGGTTTATCTGCCTTCTCCCAGGAGGCAAAGGTCCCTCCGAACCGCAAGCGCCCAGCGCCCGAGCCGCTCCCCTACGGCTGGGTGCGCAAGGCTTCGAAGACAAAGAAAGGCACCTCCTCATTGCCATCCACTTCGCTTCGGGTGGCTTTCAAAATTAAGTATAGGTTTCCTTCGACTGGCCCTTGGATACCACGTTACCTGTTTCCCTTGTACTGTGAAACTCCGATGTATATCGCTGCTGTCTGTCCACGCATTGGCATGTGACAGTCACCCTTCCTTATCTTCCTTTCCTCCATCCAGCAGCTTCAGTGGGGTCTGTGGGTTCGTCGTGCAGGTGCCTACTACTATGCAAACATCCTCACTGGCCTCCTGGAAGCAGAGCTCGACAGACATTTGCATGGTCTTTGTCCCTGCGAGTGTCTAACCAAGGAAAGACCCAGGTGAATCGACCTGGTCCTCGTACCGCCAGCGCTTCAGGCCCGGAGACGTGCTTTGAGGATGTCTAGCAGAGTGTGTGGCATCTCAAGGCATCAGCCGAAACACGACCACAAAGCTGGGTTCGATGTTCCTGTTGTGGGAGGCCACAGGCAGCGAGCCAACCGCCCGGAGCGCTTGGAAGTTTCGGGCTCCGCGCCCGCCGTATCCGAGGAGCTTCGGCAGAGGCACGCACACGTGGTTCCCATTCTGGTTTCCTTTCATCGCGGTGCAGCATAGCAACTTCTTGTCGCAAACTGGGAGGCAGGCAGAGCACGATGCAGCCGCAGAGGCGGAGCTGGAAGAAGTCAAGCGCAAGGCGGGGCAACAAGTGACATTCGACGAACCTCGTGGAATGTCATGCCCGGCTGAGGCCGCAGAACGTCGTGCGGCCCTAAAGGCATGGCAGCGATGAGAAACGATCAGCGCAGAGCCTAGCGGCCTAGCGGCTGCAGGCCATGGAGACAGCTCCGGACGACGAGGGCTCCGAGGCTACGTCAGCTCCGCAGAGCACGCTTCAACAGGACGCGCACTGTGAAATGTCAGAGAATGCAGGAGTCGGGCTCGGCAGATGACGAGAACGTGACTGGAGAGGCCTGCAGTTTCTGAGCCAGTGGCTTGTACTAGACTCGACAGTCTCTTCACCCAGAGGATGTCACGAAGTGGAAGCAAGAAGAAGAGCTCCGTGAGAAGAAGCAGGCGAGGCAAGATAAAGATTGCTGGCATGAGCGTCCCTTCCTTCCTCATGTGACCTCCGGCCGACCCGATGTGCAGGCGGAGAAGGAGGAAAAGGAGAGGCTGTCGTGGCCCGCAGCTTCAGAGCTTCCTCCGGTTCCTCGCGTTTTGCAGCCATGCCTGGATGTGCTGAAGGCCGGCCGCCGTCCCGTTCGATAGACTGTACAGAGAGAGGGCCGTTCCGCTCGACACGCTCGCCCTGTTTTCAGGATGGGAAGTGGGTCGAGCGGCACGTCTTGGGCTCCGACAAGCAGCGCTGGACACTGGGACGAGCAGTCGGGGAAGTGGACTTCCCTATGAACCATTCCACCATCTCGAGGCAGGTGAGAACAAAGGAAAACGGCCAAAGGGTAGGAGAATTGTGCTTCGTGTTGGAGCACAGGCAGCACGCGGCGCTGACCAGAGGCGGCGCCGGGATCTACCTCGTGGATCAGTCCGTCCATGGTGTACAGGTGGACGCGCAGCGTATCGAAAAGAACCTGCGCGTCCTCTTAAAGAACGGTGCCATGATCAAGTTTGGGGCCTCAACGAGGTTGTATGTCTACCACGAACCCACTTAGTCAAGCGAGAAAAGAGAGTGCATGAGCTTGCTTTCTCGACTTCCTTGCAAGCGAGCTGAAGTTCTCGGCAGAGGGACTCCTTCCTGCTCTTTGGCTCAAAGATGTTCCAGTCTTAAGTCTCAGGTTCTCCATATATCTGAAAGAAAAGGAAGGAAAGCATGGTGAGCCGCGTCGCTTCGCTGGCCTTGGCCTTTCTCCTAAGAGCTTTTTCCATCGAGCAGGAGGCTGAGGAGGACGGAAGCTACGTCGTGACCGTGGACGCTGCAGGGGAGGCGCACGGCGCCTTTGCGGTCTCGGAGCCGAAGTCCATGAGCTTGAACGCCATCCTGCCCCACTGGCCTGAGGCTGCAGACGCCAGAAGCCTCAGTTGTTGGAGCACGGATGCCAGCTTCAACTAGTGACTATCGGAACAGTATTCGGAACAACACTTATACGACTTCATACGCGAGAAAACGGGGCAAAGACACGGTCATGGCCGTCGTCACGTGGGCCGAGTCTGACCACATAGTGCGCCTGAGAAACAGGTGTAGCAACTGACAGATGTGAGGTTTAGAGTCGACACCCATGTCAAACGCAGCGCGTCTTCGTAGGAACATGTGCAGCCCAATTTTTGAAGCAAAGCCGAACCATAGAGATTTCAGAAACGGAGACCAGAGATTCGATTCCCTGAGACACTGGGAGCCTTCCCATTTTTGACCGAGGCTGCAGTTACACAGCAGAGCGTCCGCAGCGTCCGCAGCCCCGACGACAAGGCCGACAAGGCCGAAACGCAGGCCGAAGTGGACGAGGATGGAGAGTCAGAGGAGGAAGAGGACGAGAGCGAAGATGAGGATGGCGAGGAAGAATCGACAGGCTCGCAGACCTCGCCCGGCGACAAAGAGGCTTTCTCCTTCACATACCGCCAGCACGTAGCAGGCTCCACGCCGACGGGGGAGCTGGGAATCGGAACTCCGAGCGTAAATCTCAACATGATACTGGACACCGGAAGCGACAAGTTTGTGGCCAAGACATGGTCAACCATTAAGGCCGAGCTTGACAAGATCGATGCGGGTGCCTCGGACGAGGTCTTCCCGAGCACAAAGCTTTACAACCACAATGCCTCCAAGTCCTACCTGCAGCTCTTCATGTCCTCACACGGGAGGAAGGTCCCACGACAAGGTTTTATCGCCTATGGGAGTGGTATGGCCATCACCATGGAGGGCAGGGAAACCATCCGAATCGGTGGTCAAGATGAGTATGTCAGCATGCAGAAGTTTCCGATCTCCGAGATTTCCTTGGATTCCTTGCAGATCCTTCACTCATCCAAGGGCATCTCTGGCATCCTCGGTCTTCAGCACATGATGCACTTCGGCTGAGAAGCAACAAACTCTGCAGCCCCCGAGCCCCACACAGATGCAAGAACCTTCGGAGCTGACTAGAACCTACTCGTAGCTCGTAGCCCTGAGGAATCGATCCCTGGGCCAGTCCTTGTATTCCAAGCTGCGGGATAAGCGGGTCCTGCATTCTTTTGGATACTGCCGTGGCAAGAAGAATGATGGCATCCGTGGCTGCACTGAGGAAGTGGTTCTGCAACTTTTGTTCGAGGGGTGCTACATGAGTGGCTCAGGTACATTCATATGGGGGGACAAGCAACCTGGATCAAGTCAATCTCTCTTCTCGCAGACTGTATCTATTGAATTCAATTGAGCTAGTGCGAGAAAGGTGGAATAGAAAGCCAAACCAAGGGAAAGAGAGGGAGAGAGAGGGACGCGCTTGCCCACTCTCTGACTGTGTTGAAGAAGAGAGACAGAGGTTGGGCGGGCCTATGGCCTGAGGTTCGGGACGCCGACCCCAAAGCCCAGCAGAAAGAAAGAAAGAAAGAAGAGACAGAGATACAAAACCCCTCGAAATCCCCAGACATTGGGGGGCCATTTTGGCCGAGGGGTCTGACAAGCCCCTTAAGCCCGAAGGAAGAAGACAGAAATAGAGATAGATAGAGAGAGAGAGAGAGAATTCAGGCTGATGACCTGCACTCGCTCTTCACTCCCCGCATACCCAACAAATATTATTGGGTGGGCCGTTTTGGCCCGGGGACGCTGACCCGTCCCCATGAGAGAGAGAGAGAGAGAGAATTCAGGCGTTCCTGGAGCGCGGGGTGTGGGGCCTGCCCACACCTCAACCCCGAAGCAAAGCAAAGCAAAGAATTCAGGCGTCCATAAGAATTGTCTGGTTTGAGCCCGGGGGAAAACACACTAATTCATAGTCCCTCTACAAAATATCAACAAGAATATTGGATAATATACCCGGAGCTCGAACAAACTTCTCACACGCCCGAAAGCCCCATAACATATGGGGGGCCAATAGGCCGGGGGGTCTGACCCGCCCCCTATGCCCTGGGGAAGAAGGAAGAAGCAGAGATAGAGATAGAGACAGAGAGAGCGAGACAGAGAGAGGCAGGAAGAGGGAGAGAGAGAAGCGGTGGGAGGGGTCTCCCCTCTCACCCTTTACTCGTTATCGCATACTTTATGGCAATAGCCCACAGGATGCATTATACTCGTACCTCACCCCCCTTTACCTGCATAAAACAGCATGCGGGTGAGCATTTTTGCCCGGGTCTTGACCACCCCTATGCCAGAGAGAGAGAGAGAGCCTGTTGCCGACCTGCAACGCCTGGGAGCTAAAGTGCCTTTTCCGAACGCCAGCCGCCTAAGCTGATAATTAAGTGCACACTTTTTTCCAACCGCCGGCCGTCAATGTCAATAAATTAGCTTGCAATCCACTTCAGGGGGACCTTCCCCCCCCAAACATCCGACTTTTCAGGTTGGTCCTTCCTTTGCCGACCAGGGGAAGAGCCCTTTTATTACGATGTTACTTTAGTTGTGTAAGTTCCTCTCCTGAGATCCATTCTTGAATCCAACACTCCCCGATCATGTCGACTTGTAAAGGTCGCGGGTGTCTGACTTGTAAGGATTCAAGAAAGAGTGCAAAGGGGGCCACCACAATTCCGAAGCTTGTTTTAGCTAAAACGCGCATGTGACCAAAGAGAGTATACGATTTGCCTATCTTCGTTATCGTACACTGTTTGACTTGAGTCGTTGGCAAATCTACACTCGCTCCTCACTCCCTTTGTCCCGATTAAAACAATCGGTGGGCATTTTTGCCCGGGGACTTTGACCGGCGAGGGAGGGAGGGAGAGAGAGAGGGAGAGAGAGAGGAGAGTGGAGAGGAGGGGAGAGGAGGGGAGAGGAGGGGAGAGAGGGGAGAGGGGAGGGAAGGCGAGGGGAGGGGAGGGGAGGGAAGGTTTCACTGGAAAAAGACGGTACGTGCAAGCCTGACTATACGGCTGCGACAGGCGGGGATAAGACACGCAGCCCTCCGAAACCACGAGCGAGCAAAATAAAGAGGCAGAATGAGACGCGGAAAGAGGAGCAGAGCTTACACTGAAAGGCGTGTAATGATGTGGTGATGCTGAAGACTCGGGTAATGTCTGTATCTTGTTGAGTGATCCTTTCTGACCTCAAGGTCCAACGAGGGCACGGCCATGAACGTTGAAGGGCAGATGCACTGGGCTGTGAAGCTTAGCAACATGCGTGTCCGGCACAAGAGGCCGGGTCTCGATGCTCAGGGATTCACTTTCCGCTCCCCTGTGTTGAAAGGCACAAGGCTGCATCGCTTCTCAGCGATGATGCTGATGTGGTCGCTTGGAAACGCATGGGCACGGGGTTGCAGGAGGTGCAGCTGGAAGGTTATGCTTTCCGAGGATACCCTTTCGAGCAAGCCTTCACACGCCTCTCGGCCGACTCGCCGCCGACTAGCCCTGTGCTTTAAATGCCGATGAGCTTAGGCGCACCACAAATTCCACCTCTGCAAAGAGGGCTCTCCGTGCGTGGCCGTGATCGACACAGGATCCAACATCTTGGCCATGCCTTCCGAGGCGGTGAGGCGCGGTGGCGCTAAAGCGGTGGCTGAGATCTCAAGACGGCTTCCTGCTGGCCCGTTCCAGGATGCTCACGAAGACTCTGGACGTGTCCTCGGATTGCTCCAACATGGACCAGCTCCCCAATCTGCATTTCGCGCCTGTGCCCTGGACGTTTTCCGGACCCTTGACCTGTGAGCTTTTTAGCATACTCCGGCTGCAGGCTCGGCGATGGAATTGAGATTTCCTTGCCCCCAGCCGCTTACATCATGAAGGTGAAGCTCCCGTGGCTTCCGAAGAAGGACGGCGAGAAGAACTCTTCGGGGGATACCAGTTCCGACAGTTCCGACTCCGGGTCATCCACGGAGGCCACGCGTGAACAGCCGAAGCCCGAGAAGGCCTCTAAGGAGAAGGCGAAGGTCAAGGTCCACCAAGTCAATGCCGAAGACATGGATGCGACGTCAGCGTTGCCGGAGGCCGAAGCATCAACAGGGTCCAGGAAGCCTAGGCAGAGTCTGACTATTCCTTGCAATGATGTCTTCTTTGCAGGATGCTCCGGGAGCTGCGCGGCATCTTCACCAGCGACTTCCACTTCAGCTGGCGCAGCAGGAAGAGGCAGAGGCCTTTCAGGCCGAGGTTGAGTCTTTCGTGGAGGACTGGTTTGGGTGAGCCTTGAAGATCGTCTGTACACCATCGCTAAAGTGTTGACAGATTCTTGGAGCCAGCTGCGCAATGTTGCTTCGGCACCAGAAGAAAGTATTCAGTCCATGCCGAACAGGGTGACTGCAGGGTGCCATAATTTTCATGAACATGACACGCAGGAGACGCGACGGCAGCAAGGCTTAGACTTGCGAGCAGTAATTGCGAGCTCAGATCTGGCGATTCTTCTGAAAAACACATCGACACTGTGCCTGGGCTGGCAAACTCCTGGGTCCTCGGAGGGTCCCACCCTGTTTTCGTCGTGGGGATCTGCACTCGGTGGAGGGTTCCAGCTGCTTTGTGCTGAGGTGCATGCCTGCGATCGTGCCCTTGGACCGCGAAACTCAAAAGGGTACTTTGCTTGTCGTCACGGCCCAAGTCCGGTGGTTGTGAGTTGTGAGATATGCTCACAAGAACACCGTCACCATAAGGAGGAGGAGGAGCAGGAGAAATTTCCGACAGCTACTAATCGTCGCTACATTCATCTTTATTGCCGCGAGGATAGTCATTGTAACAACTAACTAGTCATGATTATCAGCAATATGACAGCCCTTCGTGATCTCGATGGCGGACAAGCTGGTTCGGGCGATGTTGATTCTGATCACTCCCAAACTGTAGAGTCCACAATACACTCTTTCCAGAAAGCCAAGGTCGGCGGGCCGTTGTTCGAGAGGCACCCTTGTCACTTCGGCTCACGAGGAATCTCTGCAGTTTCGGGTTGGGTACCTGCTTGGAGGTACTACACCAGGTGGTCCTGGCCGGAGGATCAGAAGCCGAGAATCTTCATTCAGGACATCTTCTTTCCTAATGTGGTGGGCATAAATGGCAGGCGGAATCTGCTCGAATATTCGACGAGTTCCTCTGCAGCTCGCTCCGAGTTGGCCATGTGTTGAAGTAGATCAGAGGAAGCTCGGATCTGCAGGACCTGCACAAGGCCGAGGCCTGCGCAGCCAAGGCCAGGACCATGGAAAGCTTCTCGGTCTCTGGTCTCACGATGAAGTGCGGCTTGTGCCAGGAGGATTCAGCAGCAGAAGCAGAGGAAGGTGGCAAAAACCCAGCAGGGAAGATGACAGTCTGGAGGTCACATGAAAAGGACGGCCGCATGATCCGCCTGGGGCCCCAACACGCCATGGGAGTGCATAAAGACTGTCTGACCCGGCCGACCGGCATGCGCTGTCAGGTGCCGAGAAAGGAAAGGGCAAACATCTCAAGCAATCCACGGTGTCTGCTGACCTCAGCGAGATGCCCTCGGAGATGAGGACTTTCACATTGGTTGTAGCTTGGTGGCAGTTTTGTGCTTGGCGCATGTCCAGGCCGCAGGAGATGAACCTGGAGGACATCAGGCCGTCTGTGGACCAGGCTCGAATGTTCTATCGGATGCCCTGGCCCCTGGAGGTATCCCCACTGGGCGAGGTATCTCGACGAGCTTTGAGCCTGGAGGTCTCCTGCAGTAGCCTCTGCTGGCGGCTGGCGCGAAAAGCAGTAGAGTTTGAGACTGATGCCCCGAAACTTTGGCAGCGAGCGGCATTGCCTCTGAACGAATCATCGCATGCCGCCCTTGCGACTTTGCGCGGCTCAAGAACACATATCACGCTCCGCCATGTCCCAACGAGCTGGAAGCAGCAATGAGCCTGGCAATTCTCCTTCGCTTCGTCACGAGTCACAATGCGGAAGAGCTAGAAACCTAGAAACTCCAACTCCCGACTCCCAACCCATCCCAGCCCCCAACCCTTCGAACAGCACCCTGAGCACGAGCTGAACTCCGGAGCCTTAATGTGCCATTGGCCGCCATGTCTCCGGGTCCCATTACGCAGTCGGCCGGGACTGGTCTCGGAATTGTAGGTTGGGCCACAGGAGCTCTAAACCCCTTCTGTCGCAAGCTCAAGTGCGCAGGTGATGGCAAGGGCTGGTCAGGAGGAAGCACTCGGCCCGATGGCGAGGCCGAGAGCTCTCGCTCTCCGACTGTCAGCGTTCACAGCTTGGGTCTGCTTTTCCTTCGCCGCGAAGGCGAACCAGCCTCAAAGGATCAAGGAGAACAGAGCAAAGGTCTTCCTCGAGGCCGGGTCTTTTCGTTACATTAACGGGGCACTTTGATGTGCTGTGTGCCGGCGAAAGGTGGAGCTGCACAAGAGAAAGCTTGGGCGCATCGTCCTGGAGCTCTTCGGAGACGTGGTTCCAAAGACCGCCGAGAACTTCCGCTGCCTTTGCACCGGCTGGGTGCTCAGGGATTTTCGGATGAAGCGCCCACTGCGGAACTGCATCGCGACATCCAAGGAGAGCGTGGAGTCAGCGCCGTGTCTGGAAAGCCTTTGAGCTACAAAGGTAGTAGGTTGGGGCCTCGGAGCGCGTGCTGCAACGTGGACAGCAGCTGGAAAGCCGGAGATTTTAAGCCCAGGTTTCACAAGATCATCCCAGGCAAGATCATCCAAGGCCCCTCCTTGCTCTTGATTTGAGTTGACGGAGAGTTTCGCATGTTTCAGCAGTTTGCACGATGCCTTCAATTCACGAGCTGGCCTCTGCGAAGTTTTCTACCTGACGCGCACCGTCTCAGGTGGAGACTTCACGAAGGGGGACGGCTCAGGTGGAGACTCTATCTTCAACCAGGCCTTTTGTGGCTTTAGAGGGTGGCCACAAGGAGCTACATAGATTGAATGAAATGCAGACCTCAGGTTGTACTAGGCAGCCAATGTTTCAACAGTGGCGCCAAAGCAGTGGAATTGCGCGACGGCCACTTTCCCTTGCCCGATTTGCAAATTTCGGGAAAGCAGCGGGAGAGTAGGCTAGCGGCTGGGGCTAGCTTTCGCAGGATGGCGACGGAACGTTTGGGTGTGAGAACTTCAAGCTGAAGCACGACCGCCCTGGCTTGGCGGCGGCCCCGGGGGCCAAAACAAAGCAAACAATGCAGAAAGCAGGAAAGAAGCACTTTAGTTGTGTCTTGCGCCGGGCGAAGGTCTCGATGGCCCACAAGCGAGGTGAGGAGGGCAAGCAGTCCTCACAGTTCTTCTTCACCTCCAAGGTTCTCTTCGAGTCTTCGAATTTCGCATCAAAGCTGAGACTGTCAGGCAGAGCCCAAGCTGGACGGCAAGCACGTGGTCTTCGGTCGAGTCATTGAGGGCATCGACAAGCTGTCGAAGGCCATGCAGTGTCTCCTTCTTGCTCCGACCGGCTCCCTAAAATGCCTCCCCGTGCAGCTCGAGTCCATGGGCACAAAGGGTGGGACGCCTCTCTTCGAGGCAGCTGAAGTGTTGAAGACGCTTTGCAGAGTTCACGGGGTGCCCTTGCTTGGCAGGCCGTCATCTGCGACTGCGGGGAGCTGGAGTCCGAGGCACTTCGCACGCGGAAGCGCAAAGCAGAAGAGGCGGGCGGTGGATGAGCCTCGAAGCCTGTGGGATGAAAGAGCCCGCCTTGACACAGATACCTCTTCCTCCTGGCTGGAAGAAGAAGGAGTCCCGCTCGAAGGTGGAGACCCTCCTCTCGTTCTCACAAGCTCCCAGGGTGCCAGGTCTTTGCCGAAGCTGTGCTTGCAAGCAGACTTCAATCCGCTTGGGCCAACTGAGACCTGTCGCAGCTTTGGCTCACGAAGAGGGTGCCACTGGAAGTAGCATATGGCCTCGAATCTGAAGGAGCCGCTGTTGCCAAGGCCTATAGGGCAGTGCCTGCCACTCGTACCAGCAAACGAGCTCTTCAGTGCGAGAGGCACACTGCACATGTGTCGAAGGTGGCACGGAACCCAGTCCGCCAGAACTTGTGTCTCTGCGGACATTGACATAGACATTTGGAAGTGTAAGGAGAAGCCCGGAGCCGGGCAGACGGCCTTTGCCTTCGCAGTCTTCATCGCCGTCAGGAGTTTCCACCCAGACCCGCCCCCAGAGTCCCAGGGGTTGTATACGCAATAGTTAGGCTTTTCGAGAGTGCACTTTTTTCTCCCTGTCCTGTGTTGTTCCGAGTGCGTTCCTCCGAGATCATCATAGACATCTCCAAGACGGATGGCAAGCTGCCCTATGGCAAGGCATTGCCGGACAACTTGTACCCTTGTAGTGACCTCGTGCAAGCCTGGACAAGAAGGCCACTCCGTGTGTCATCAACTCGGCGGTGGACATTGTCATCGGTTCTGCTGACTGATTTAATTATTCAATGGCTGCCGCCAATGCCGCCGACCCCCAGATAAATCGTGAAACCTATCATGAGCATACCTTTCCTTGCAGATTAGGACCGGTGCAGGTCTTGCGGCCCTGTTTCGCTGTATTGCAGTTCTTTTTGGCGGTGGGGGCAGGTGGGCGAAGCGCGGAGGGCGGCGTGGCCGGGTAAGGCGGTGGGGGCGGTGGGAGCGGTGAGGACAACGGTGTGGGCAGAGAATTTTGGGCACGCATTGGAGGCCTCTAACTCTAACTACTTCCTCACAGAACGTAAGCCAGTGAGGGACGCTGGGGACGAAGCCGTGGGGGGCGGTGAGGTGGGGTGGGGTGAACTTCGGTCACTTGGACCATGGAGGCGGGGGGAAGCCGTGGGGGCGGTGGGCCGGGGTGGGGTGGGGTGGTGGAGGCCTCAACCACTTCCTCACAGAAGGCAAGCCAAGGTGAAGGGGGCAGTGAGGACGCTGGGGAGTGAGGGCGGTGTGGGCGGGCAGTTGGGGCAATAAATGCGAGTGAGGACGTGTGCTGGGGACAGGGGGTGGTGTGGGTGGAGGGGGTTTGGGCGCGAATTGGAAGCGTCTAAGTCTAAATACTTCCGAAGGGCCTGAGCCAAGGGTGGGGTAGTTGAGGCGAGGTGCCCAGGGAAAAGGCCAAGAGCAGAGCCTCGGAAAAAGCAAGAAAAACCCTACGGCATTTGACAGGCGCCGCCCCAACGGGGGTCGGCGGATAATGTGCGCTTCTCTTCCGCGTCCTGCGGCCTTCCTCGTCCCATGTTGTCCTCAAGACATGGCTCTTCCAGCCACAGGCTCAAAGTGTCAAGCCACAAGTAGCATGAAGACCACTCGAACACGGTCAACAGACAGGACCGTCCTCATCGAAAAGGTTAGGAGTGTGGTTGAAGCCTGGAAGCCGCGGCCATGGTGGCAGAGCCTCCAAAGCCCGGGCCCACGGGGCCCACGGGGCCCTCGGGGCCATCGGGGCCCTCGGCAGAGTGTGCTGTTCTGGAGTTTCAGATGCAGAGCTTGAAGGAAGAGCTGCGTGACTACGATGAGCAGCTCCCGTGCTGGTCTGCGGAGCTGGCAGCGGCGGAAGAGTGGGCACAGCATGTGGATTCGGAAGCAGATGAAGCCGAGGCGGAACACCGGCAGTTGACGGAGGAGCTTTCTGAGATGCGGCTCACTTCCATCTCGCCCGCCAGCAGCGCCTGCGAGAAGGACTTTGAAGCTGCAGTGGGCCATCACCAGAAGATGGGCATTGCCCATGACGACTTCGAGGAGCCGTTGCCAATCCCTCCCTCGACTTCGGACGGGCAGCACAATCTGGACGAGCATCGCCGACACGTCGATAGGCACCTGCAGCAGGAGGTGTCCCGCCGAAAGCTGGCGGTGGCACACCTAAGGCAGCAGCACCTGGTCTCTGCTGACCAGGCTTTGGCAGCGGGCCGAAAGGAGGCCGAGGAACTGCGAGAGGCCTTGGAATTGGCGGAGAAAGAAGGCCAGGAGCTCGCCAGGCAACGCCAGGTGCGGGGACGATTGGCTTTTGCACGATGCATTTGGGTCTATAGAGTCTATGCAAGCCAAGTCATTCATCATAACATAATAACGAACATAACCATAATGTGATCTCCTGATATAAAGCCCCCCAAACAACCTGGAATCCGGAATACTTTGTTTTTTTTTCGAACTGATGATTTTGACTTGTTTGGACGTCGGGGGGGGGGCCGGGGGGGGGGGGG